CTATCTATACATATCTATTTATATATAGCTGTATATATATATATATACACGAAGCAAATTCGAAATGAAAATCTGAACATGTGTAGAAAAAATTGTTATATTAATGTTTTATATGCTTGCGAATACTTCAGTTGCAATGTAATATGTCTTATACTTGATATTCACATACCTTGAACGTTTGTCTCCAATTCCTTTCAATGCATTCATGAAGCTTGCTTGTAGGCTTGTACAGTCACCTACAATCGCAACACTTCTAATTGGCGAGACCTGCATTTTAACTATAGGCGGACCTTCAGGGACCACAGGCTTTTTACTGATACCGCTCATCCCTCGTATCACCGCTGGGTGCAATGCCATGTCCATTGTGCTTAATCTGACACATCTAACTTCTATATAGACTAATTATGGTTGAAATTTTGTATACGAAAAGATATGATTGTGATATGTGTGACTATGTCCTTAAATAAACTAAGTATGATGTTGATCGTATGGTGTGACTTTCGTATCAAGCCCCTCCTTTTCGAGTAGTGTAAATGATATTTAGCAGACTATATATAAAATTATGTGTTGTAGTGTATTTGTTATTTAGACTAGATTCGGTGCAGAGAATGGATACATTTAATACCGGATTTGTACTAGTGAAGGTTGTACTTCACACTCCAGGTCAGCATCATGATATATATTGCTTTTAGCCGTTCCGTTTATCACTAACTCATGTCACGCAACGCATCTTAGATAATATAAATGATCAATTATTGTCAAATTGAAGGTAAAAAAGCCATTTTTTTTAATTAGTATTTTCCTCAGTTTTATTATTTAGTATCAATTGCATGTATTATTGTTGGTTATAAATACGTACGTCAAGAGACCTAAAAGTATTGGTGGATTTATGTGTTTGATACTCTTCTGGTGCCTTGTGGTGATAAACCCAAAATGCCGATTTCGATTCTACAGAGTAGAGTTTGGTTTTAGCTTGAAAATGTGTTCAATTTTTAGGAGCCTATGGAAAATGTTCTTTTTTCCGGAGAAGAGTACATATGTGAAAATCCAAAACTTTAGATCATCCTGATTCTCTTTCGAGAATCGAGAGAAGTTTGAAATTTGCGCCTGCACTTTGCAATATGCACACAGGGCATTCTTTCAGCCGGCCAGAGCAATTATCATATTCCCATATTACTATATTAGGGATATTTGAAATATCTGTGGCATTACAAGCCTCTAAATTCCATGGAAATAGGTATCTATTTTTGAAAAAACCATGGAAATAAATATGGAACAGTCCATCCAAAAATAAATAATTTGGTTCGGGACTTTGAAGTTTGAGCCCGGGCCCCGGTGTGAGGGCTCAGGCCTCAGGAGTCCGGCTCTCCGGGCTGTGACTCTGTAAGGCGCGAGCCCACCAGCCACCTGTTGCTCAGTGTTTTTTTAACCGTAAAAGGCTAAAACTTCCCCACCCCCCTACGCCCCACGGCCCCACTCTCCCTACATACACACACGACACCTCTATATGCCCCCTGCAAATTTGGCGGAATTTTGTCATTTGAAAACAATTTTAAACTCAATACCGGTATTCTGATTGATCCCGGCAATATTGTAGACGTTTTTATTGGCCAATAAGGAAAATATAAAATAGCGCAATGTGGACTGATTGATGCCCATTGCCCAATTTTATCATAATGTTTACATTTTTTACCTCAGAATTTTTCATGGACCACACCCGCCGGTTGCGTCAACGCATTGGTGTTCAGTCGTGTGTACGTAAATACCTTGCATATACCTATACACACATACACTCATATTCACTGGTCTCTGTTGCTCTATCCTTATTAGACACAACTGTTATACATCTCAAGTATGATGCGTTCAACTTTACTTCGGTGTTTGGCGCTGATATTGCTGGTTGCCTGCACGGTGGTAGTAGCACACGATCACGGACACCATGGACACGGACATGACCACGGTCATGGACACGCACATGGAGATGACAAACCTGCCAACAAGTACTCGAGGTAAAGCATGTTGTATAAATACTATTTTAGTGTAAAACTCATTGAAATCTATTAATGCGGGAGTCCTTTCTGTGTATAGTGTTTACATGAGTGCTCGTAGCTATGTATAATACCTCAAGATCCCTATATATTTGCACGAATGTATATCCGAAATGTCCATCATGTTTATATCAATATATATATATATATATATATGTGTGTGTGTGTTTGTGTGTGTTTATGGTCATGTGTCTGTGTCTGTGTGTGTCTGAGAGTTTGTGTATGCGTATATATATATATATATATATATATATGGATAAGGATATGGATATGTATATGTGTATTTATATGTATATATATATCTTTAAATTAAATTATGTATATATATAAATATATATATATATATATATATGTAGTGTGTGTATATATGTATGTCTGTATGTATGTGCTAGTGTGCTTGCATATATACTTATAGATTTAAACTTTTTTTTCCGTATTCACTTGGATCTTCTTACCTCAAATGAGCTCATAAAAATGCATCTTATCGTTATGACCAAATGAATATATTTGTTTGTATTCCATTCACGTTAATACGAGCATATGAAAATCTGTTGTTATGCGCAAAACCGTGTAAACTTGTTCGTGACTTTATGTTTATATCATTCTTCGGAGCGTCCCTCCACCCATCTCCGTATAGTAATATCATTTTTGTAACCGCATAGGCGTGTCATCACATGGAAATGTGAGGATGTGTTATTCTCCTCCAATATAAGCGATAGACTGTTATCAACCTGGTTACGCACATCTGTATACCTATTTGGCATATGCTTGTAGGAGCTATCCTTGTGAATGTATGTGAATCGGTGTGCAATCTAATCGGCAGCTATTGCACCTACTGGTATTTTGGTTCATACTCACATACTTACAGTTACAGTTACATATACTCTCCTCCCTCGCATTCAAACTCTGTACAAAGATATCCCGATCACGCATGGGTAGATTATAGTCTCATTCTTTCATCCACCGACCATACTTAGAGAGGCGAACCAAGACGGTCCGTCTGTGGATGAGATGGCAGCCCAGAAGCTTGACGAGGTATAGTAGTACACCATATTTATTTACACTATTCGAGTGCCATTAACCTGGCTTGTCAACAGGATCTGTACATGTAGGTGTCTACTGTGTAAGGATTGTCAGCGATATGGCCTGTGCTTGGCATAAGCATGTCTCGTACGCGTTTCTTTTGTACCGGATCCGGTCTATTCGGGTGCTATTGTCCTGGCAGGTGAACTGGATCTATGCGTGTGGGTGTCAACTGTACAACGATTGCGCGTCCGGTTCTATATCTGTTCTGTCTATATAAACGCATGCCTATATCTTAAATGAATACCAAAAAAAAAGGTCATATCCTCCCCCGCCACCCACCCCCACCCCCTCCAAGGAGGACCCAAAACCCAAGACCTGTTTCTACGTGTGCATATATACTCCTCATTCCGTGTCTGTGCACTAGGGCGTGTATATAAGTTGTGCATTGGTCGGCCGTACCTATCGGTCCACATGCAAGTGAATCTATGGATGTTCCAGATAAGTTAGCTATAGATATGCGAGACGGGAATGCTCTCGAGCACACCTTCCCCTTCTTAGCGCGTGCTTGGTGTCATTGTATGCCATATACTACAAACACACCGCCACGCTGAGGGGTGTCTGCGTTCGGTGGTACAGAGTTGCCAACCATTTGTGGTATTGTAAGGGATGGTACCGTTTGATGTTTTGGCCCGGGCGTTGGTGTCTGTTGATGAAGGGGCTGCAGGGTAGGCTGTACCTACTTGTTTGTCCTGAACAAGCTCGAGACATCCGTTCGGTACTTCCTTGTTTGGCTACTACTACCACTGCAATGCAATCGTATGCGTTATACTCCCACGCGTTGACCAAGCCTGTGTGTGCGTGCGTGCGGCACTATCACCACTACTGGGACTGGATCAAGGGGTTGTTATTCTTGTGCTGAATGTACGAGTATGTAGAGTCTCTGTATGTCGTTAAACGTGTACCTCCATATTGTCTCGTGCCATGCACTCATACGTAAATGCAGGTTGCGGAAGTACAGGCACGAATGCAGAAGGAAAACGAGGAGAGGCTGCAAAGCCAACAAGCTCAGCAACAGGCTAAGAACACGGTCAGCAATGCCCAGCTTATTGCGGATAAGAAGAGGGCTCTGGTAAGTGGGTGTGCTAGTGTCTTCATAGGTGCACATGGAGCTGTATATTTTTAGGTACATATATGAAGTGGCGTATGAACCAATGCAAGA